CTGTCTCTGACGTCTAGGCCCAGATTTAAAGGGCTTGTGTGATTAGATGCAGCCAACCTGAATAATCTCCCTTTTGTTTAACTCAAAGTCAAGTCATTGTTAAAGTAATCTATACTTAAACTTCATATGGAACCAAGAGAGCCTGCATAGCCAAGTCAATTCTAAGCAAAAAGAACACAGCAGGAGGCATCACACTACCGGACTTCAAATTATACTACAAGGCTACAGTAATCAAAACAGCATGATACTGGTACCAAAACAGAGATATAGACCAATGGAACCGAACAGAGCCATCAGAGGCAACACAACATATCTACTACCATACAATCTTTGATAAACCTGATGAAAACAAGCAATGGGGAAAGGATTCCCTGTTCAATAAATGGTGTTGGGAAAACTGGCTAGCCATGTGCAGAAAGCAGAAACTGGACCCCTTCCTGACACCTTACACTAAAATTAACTCCAGATTGATTAAAGACAAACATAAGTCCTGGCACCATAAAAACCCTAGAAGGAAATCTAGGCAAAACCATTCAGGACATAGGAGTAGGCAAGGACTTCATGACTAAAACACCAAAAGCATTGGCAACAAAAGCCAAAATAGACAAATGGGACCTAATCAAACTCCACAGCTTCTGCACAGCAAAAGAAACAGTCATTAGAGTGAATTGGTAACCAACAGAATGGGAAAAAATTTTTGCAGTTTACCCATCTGACAAAGGGCTGATATCCAGAATTTACAAAGAACTCAAACAGATTTACAGGAAAAAAACAAACAAGCCCACTCAAAAATGGGCAAAGGATATGAACAGACACTTTACAAAAGAAGATGTACATGAGGCCAACAAACATATGAAAAAATGCTCATCATCACTGGTCATTAGAGAAATGCAAATCAAAACTACATTGAGATACCATCTCATGCCAGTTAGAATGGCAATCATTAAAAAATCTGGAGACAACAGATGCTGGAGAGGATGTGGAGAAATAGGAACACTTTTACACTGCTAGTGGGAGTGTAAATTATTTCAACCATTGTGGAAGACAGTGTGGCTATTCCTCAAGGACCTAGAAATAGAAATTCCATTTGACCCAGCAATTCCATTACTGGGTATATATCCAAAGGATTATAAATCGTTCTACTGTAAGGACACATGCACACGAATATTCATTGCAGCACTGTTTACATTAGCAAAGACCTGGAATCAACCCAAATGCCCATCGATGATAGACTGGACTGCGAAAATGTGGCACATATACAGCATGGAATATTATGCAGCAATCAAAAACAATGAGTTTGTGTCCTTTGTAGGGACATGAATGAAACTGGAGACCATCATTCTCAGCAAACTGACACAAGAACAAAAAATGAAATACCACATGTTCTCACTCATAGGCGGGTGATGAACAATGAGAACACATGAACACAGGGAGGGGAGCACTACACACTGGGGTCTATTGGGGGGAATAGGGGAGGTACAGCCGGTGGGGGAGCTGGGGAGGGATAGCATGGGGAGAAATGCCAGATGTGGGTGAAGGGGAGGAAGGCAGCAAATCACACTGCCATGTGTGTACCTATGCAACTATCTTGCATGTTCTGCACATGTACCCCAAAACCTAAAATGAAAAAAAAATTAAAAGCACAAAATCAACTAATTAATTAACATTAGTTGCATGTACAGTTCTTTTTTGCCATGTAATGTAACAATTACAGAAGTCATAGCTCATCATAGTCTCAGATTCCACTCACATTCAAGGGGAGGGAATTATACAAAGGTAAAAGTTATTTATGGTCATTTTAGAATTCTGTCTACCACAAACCATTTTTTAAAACTAGAGAGGTGAGTGGGCTCCAGTAGGTAAGAGATAAAAGTGAATAACAGCTAGGGATCCTCTTTGGAGGTCAAGGATTTTGCAAAAAATAAAAAAGAAGAGGGGTATCTAGGCAAAAGGAATTCCCGAATAGCTCATGAAAATGTCCTTTGAGACAAATATACAGGGGGGCTCTAAACTCTGCCAGGCCTCAAAAGCAAGGCACCATAAAAGGATAACACCAGTTGTCAGATGCATAAGAACTTTCTTGTATCCCTTTTTCCCTTCCACTCTCTATAAATTTTCACTCTGGCAAAAGCAAAACCTGTGTTAGCAAACCAGGGAAAGAGTTAAATGCTGGGACAAGAAAGAAGAGCAAAGTCATCACACTCTCTTTCCTGAAAGCAGGTGGCTGTGAAATGCAGGTCTTACCCAGATTGGGGAAGTCTTATATTTGAATGAAGATTGAAGTCATGATTAATGTCTGGGCTGAACTTGTTCCAGAATTACAACTGTGTTTTATTGTTTATTTTGTATTCTTTTGTTTAAAGTTAGACACAGGTTTTCTGAAAATGAACCGAAAAGTCGTGGAGATGCCTGAGCTTGTGTATAGTAGCATAGAAAAGCCCTTCTCCAATGAAATAAGTTCAAAAGAACAATAAGACAAGGAGGACAAGGAGGCAGATAAACTGCTGCATCTTGATTATACCCCAAGCATTATGGTTATTCAAAGTACTAGTTACATACATATGAGACAACTGAGATCATTAAAAAGTGAATTAGCTTGCCCAAGATACACAACTAGTAAGCTAACGAGTAACTGAGCTGGGATTGGAAATCAAGTCTCCCTAACTCTAAAATGTATTCCTTTACTATCATGCCAAGTAGGAATCTTGATGGCAGGCACATTATGAATATGGAGGACAGAAAGCTATAGAGGAGCTGCATAGAGATAAATGCCCACTCTCACCATGAGAAGGTTTTTATCACCTCTGTTGTCTGCACCTGGCTTCTGTTCAGGCTGCAGAATCCAACATGACTCTTCATTGTAGTACCTCAGTACCTTTAAGAAGCCTTAACTATTCTTCCTAGATGAAACTCCAAATATTCAGACTTTCTTTCTAGTAACAGGAGTTTAGGACTCTCTTCTGAGAATAATCTAGTACCTTCTGGATAATCAGTCAGTGTGATCTACCCATGACCAGAGGATATAGTTCACTTGAGATCATTCTTTCTCAGTTTTAGTGGGAAGAAAAATATGTAGCAATCTCCAATTTTTATCTTCCAACCAGAATAACAGTAGAAGTTTTCTGGGATGACCATACCCCAGTGTAGTGTAAGAGGAAGGATCTCTCTCACTGGAAGAGAAAGTCACTCTCTGTGGTTTGTGTCTTCTCTTTCAGTCCAAGCAGCAGATTGCTACAAAGAAGGAAAGAATGACAGAGAAGAAAAATCACGTGTGCCAGTTCTTGCCAGCAGGAACTGAGGAGCTGGGACATACATAGGACACCAGGCAGCTAAATGAGGCTTAACAAGGAAACTGAGAAATGAGGTCACAGAGCACAGTAGAGTAGAAAGAACAGGGACAGGGAGCTAGAGAGCCTGTGATGTGTGCAACTGTAGGACTCTGGACATGCTTATCTAGCCAGTGTGAATTTCTTTCCCTCATCTGATAAATAGCCATGCAGCTCTGTAAACTTGCTCTGGAGGATGAAATGAAATAACATTTATACACTTGGTACTTAGTGGACTTGACTCTTGGTTCTTACCACAACCTATATCTTCTGGTCATTGCCCCAGGAAATTGAAATTTTTAGAGACATCTTCGAGATTTATAAAATCATATAGCTTGAATCAATTGCAATATTTGTAATCAATGTGTACATCCACACAGCCTAGGTTCTTCCACTCATCAATTCCTTACTTCTACCTGGAAGACTCCATCACAAACTCTATGCGCCCAATTTGTCATGAGGCTGGTTGTCAGACCACCCTCAGGGGGAAGATGGACCTGACCACTCTCCCCCTCTTCAGAATCAGTGATGGAGTTAATATAGAAACATAAAGCAGGAATAATTGTGTTCTAACCTTGAACACAAACTCTGAGTGCTCTGCTAATATATTTCCAAAGCACAAAAGAAGGGAAAAGAGAACTGTAGCAGAAGACACAAGATACAAACTGGCAGCCAACCTTGAGTGGCTGACTTTGCAAACTACCCAAGCTGATAAAGCTGCAGCCACATAGGAATCCTCTTATCCAATTGTCAGCCAAGATGAGAATGTGCCACTGGGCCTTGAAAATTGTAGCTGTGAAAGAACTTGAAGTGCCCTTTAAATTTCATGAGAAATTCCTTCACTTGTCCTTCCTAGTTATCACACTTTGCTTGGTGTTAAGAATGCCTAGATAACCTGTCAACATCCCCATCCACAAATAACAAGAAAAACAGATATTATATTAATCAAGATAATTAATGCCATCTTCCCAACATACCCAACATTTCAGTGGCTTAACACATTACAAGTTTTTTTCTTGCTTATGTCATATCCAAATGTGGATTGGGTGGCCTTCCTTCATCCTGTAGTTATGCAATCTGAGGCATAAGACTTTCAAGATCAAAAAGAGGTGGCTGGAGGATCACATGGGATGATTTCAAAAGTCGAGCTCAGAATTGGTACACATCACTCCTGTCAATACCTCATTGGCCAGAACTCATCATATGGCACCAACCTAATGGCAAAGGAGTCTGGGAGATATAGAGGAACACACAACACACTGTTGCTGAGTCTTAACAGTTTCTGCCATAGAGAAACAAATTTGTAAATGGCAATGCAATGAGTTAAGTGCACAATATGACATAGGTTCCTAACGACACAATGAAGGGAGTAGTAAATTCTGCTTAGGCAGGTCTAAAAAGGTTTCATGAGAAAGATGACACATGATATGAGCCCTAGAAACAGAACAGGAGCAAGATAATTGTGGGAAAGAAGAGGGGCATTTTCAGGCAGAGGCATGGATGCATGAAATAGTGTGGCAAGTTTAGGAACTGTCAAAAATGTGGATGCCTGAGAAACAGTGTGGATGACAATTCATGGAGTGGAGACTGGAGCTGTGAGTGAGACCTAATCCTGAGGTTAGAAGGAAAACTTCAGGGATACAGTAAAGGCATGCTGGAACCTAGGGTTCTTACCAGGCATCAGGAGGAAGTCTGGACTCCAGGTATGATCAGATATGTGAATCAAGTCCTTGTAGACCTTCAGCCAATAAGCAAGGGAAGCCTTCTTCACAGGGTTAGCAAAAATTCCAAACAGAAGTATGGTTATAATTAAACATCAGTCATGCTGCACTTTGGCCCACTTCCTTATTGCCAAAAGTCACAGAGCACTAGATACTGACAGTTTGCATCCTCACTGTTCCTTAGGCAAGATCTCTAACAGAATTATAAGGCTTTTGTGTAAGCATTACTTAAGATGTTTTTGAAATCCCAAATTCCAGGGGAATGGCTGAAGCCAGTCAGTTGGAAGACACCCACAGAGGAATCAAATCAGGAAAAAATACAGTTTCTTCATCTTCCTGTCCCATGACTTCACCCTGCACTCTTCAACCAATCAGTATTCTTCACTATTCAGTCCACTCCAAAATCCTTAAAAAACCCTAACCTCAGGGAGAGGAATCTGAGGCTCCCTCCCCTCTCCTCATTTGGTGGCCCTATGATTAAAGTTCTTTCTCTGCTGCAACGCAGTGTCTCAGTTCATTGACTTATTGTGTGCATCGGGTAATGAACCTGTTACAGTTACACAAGGCCTCCTATGTTCCCTGCTTCTGTGACAAAAAGACAGCAATGTAACCATGATGACTGTAGGCTGCTTTAAGCAGCAATACCAGGCCTCTTTCTTGGGTTTGCAACACCATGCAGAAGGAAGATAAGTTTAAGCATCAGACAGACCTGGATTGAAATGCTTTTCTGAAGTTACTCTCTAAGCTGTTTTTTCTAGAATGATAATAGCAATGCCTACCATAGAAAAAGAGCATGCAGAAGAAGTGAAATGCTGTTGTAGAGACACAAGAATGGCAACTGATTGAGTCGACCTTCCAGACATGTGATCAGCACTTCCACTCTCTGCCACATCCGCTTTTCTCTCCCTGTTTCTAATGCAGTTTTTACTTATACAGTTGATGGGCTTAGAGAGAGACAGTGAGCAGAGAGCTCTTCCTTTTCACAGAGGTGTCTTTGGGCTGTGTCAGTTGAAATAAAGCTGTTTACTGCCTTAACCCCGTGCTCCGACACACCCACTGGGTAAAGTTCTTAGATGTTCCTGGAATCAGGCTGCCTCTTAGTCTCTCCTTGAAGCCAGCCTGACATTGGAGTCTAGAAGTCTTCTTAGATCCATTATCTCATTACATATTGACAATCACCCTCTGCAACAGACAGCATCATTCCCATTTTACAAATGAGAAAAACCACAAAGGGATTTGACAAACAAGGCCAAATGGATTACATTTCCTTTAATCCAATTGCCTCATATTCTCCCTGGTATAAAAAAAAAAATGACCACTCTTTATTCCTACCTTAAAAAACAGTAGGAAAAGATGGAGATACTTGGCCAGGAAATGAGATGGCTCTCAGTCTAGTTTCCCCAGTAAAGCACTAAGTAATAAACCTAACTCTAGAGAGAAAACTCAGAAGGCACAGCTAATAGTGTTGTTTTTAACATATGCTGAACCAAAATAAACTGATCACCAAGTAAATCAGCAAGGCCCTGGTGTATGTTAAAAGAATGACCCTCCTCCTTTTTGGCTACAACTATTTTACTGAGAAATCACATAACCCATACAGAAGATGTACAAACACATATATACCTACACCTTTACATGTCATATACGTTCACACACTCATATACCCCAATTAACATAAATGAGCCTATATATACATTTTTTTCTTTTTTACTTTGTTCTGACATAGGTGACCACCGTATAAAAATGGGAAAAAGGACACTTTGCATAATCTGACCCTCCCTCCATCCATCAAAATAAGTAAACAAAATTGAAAAAGTGAAATGAAGCTTAGAGGGTACAGCATTTCACGGCTGACGCCCCTGATTCAAGTAGCTTCATGAGGCATCCTTTTTCTTCTATAGGCTCCCGTAGCAGAAAGTGTCAGGGTCCACCCACGTCCTTTCAGGCTACGTTGGAGGTCACCCACAGACCTTTTCCATATGTACCACTCTTGGGTCCTGAGCGTATGCTCAGTCTGGGCTCAGGACAGGCCAGAAACACCAAGGATATAATGTCTTGGGAGCCACACTCAACACTGAGCTGTGATAGGAACTGGTTAAGTAAATTTCCAGCTTCCTCCCCCCTTACAGGGACAGAATCTGAAGTGTGCTCTAAACAGCCCTTTATAAGGTCCCCATCAGGACTGACACCTGTTGCCCATGGCAGTGACCTGCTTACCAACACACCCCTTGTTGGCCTTCCCCACCCACCCTGTCTCACTTCCCCACTCTCTTACTGTGCTGCCTAAGATGATTGCCCAAATAAATGACTTACCCAGATCCCTGTCTCAGGAAGTGCTTTTAGGGCACTAAACTACAAAAGTTTCCCAATTCCAGAGCCTCTAAACCAGGTCTCCAACCCCCGATATCAGCATGTCTCCCACTAAATTCCCTGAATCCATGTTTTCTAGATAGTTCCAAAGGAAACTGTCCCCGCTCTGTGCTGTGATAGTTTGCATTGTGTCTCCCCCACTGGTCTGTAGCAGGGATTCTGTCAGGTACCAAGTGCAGTGCTGGATCACGGCAGGTGTTCCATAAATGACTAGTGAATCATCATGTCCTCTCTCTCTGCAAAGCACATGCCCATCTCCAACACTTCTGGCTTGGCTCTGCAGCCCTGGAGTCAGTCTTACAGAGTTGCTTAGAGGCTTGCAGAGGTGTCTGGCCTGGGATGCAATAGCACCATGGGAAGCCATCAGACAGCTCTGGTAATATGCCTTACTATAACTGCAGACATACAGATGGACAAATAGACGGGTCCTTGGCCACTGGTGCTCTATGCTAGCATTGTGTGTGCCTAAGGAGGCTTGCCTTGTTGTGGATCAAAGAGAGTGGCTGCAGATCACTCCCGCCACCCACATCACTCCCACCAATTCCCAGAAGCTCCTCTCATACCTCCCTGTAATGTCCCTATTTCTTTTCTTTTTCTTTTTTTGAGATGGAGTTTTACCCTTGTTGCCCAGCTTGGAGTGCAGTGGCGTGATCTTCACTCACTGCAACCTCTGCCTCCTGGGTTCAAGCAATTCTCCTGCCTCAGCCTCCCGAGTAGCTAGGATTACAGGTATGCACCACCACGCCCTGCTAATTTTGTATTTTTAGTACAGACAGGGTTTCTATGTTGGTCAGGCTGGTCTAAAACTCCCAACCTCAGGTGATCTGCCCACCTTGGCCTCCCAAAGTGCTGGGATTACAGGTGTGAGCCACCACACCTGGCCAATGTCCCTATTTCTAAAGGACACATTCTCGGCTCCTCAAAATGAGGCTGTCTTGAAGCTGGATTCTCTCTGACAAAGCCACCCGACATGTTTTGCCAGCAGATCCAGTGAGCAGGAAAAATCCCATGGATACCCCAGAGGGAGTTTCAGCAGCCAGAGAGGGATGGAAATCCCACAGCTACTCACCTTCAGTGTGAGTCCTCCCCTGCTTTGCCCAAGTTGCTCTTCAAGCTCATTCTCTGATACCCATGACCTTCTCTAAGCCTGATCTCCCACAGACAAGCTGGCACCATACACTGTACAGTAATGTCTTCTCTACTGGACTCCTGAGAACAGGAAGAGTTTGTGCATTCTTGTCCCCACTGCCTATCATCATGGCAGTTACACATAAGGCATTTTACATGTGTTGAGGACGAGAGTAAGCAGAGCTTTCCACATCAGGCTGAAACAGGCCTTAAAAACGTGTCTATCCCTTGGCGAGGGAACACAGCAATATAAATCCATTCAGAACACTGAGTCTTTGATGTATAAAGGCGGAATCTTAAAAGAGGAGAAGGGGTTAGAAAGGAGAAGCTTGAGGACAACAGAGGCATGCTTTGCTCAATTCACACAGAGAATGGATAGGCAAGATGATGCTGAGAAGGGAAGAGGATACCATCCCCTCTCAGTGCAGCACTTCTTCCAATAGTAAAAAGAACAAGAACTCTGAAGTTAGAATTTGATTTGCAGCCTAGCTTTTCTGAGATTGTTCATGAAGAACTACGAAAATGCCAAAACACAGCAGCAGAGGAGTCTTGGGAAACAGGCTCAGGCCTGTCAGCATTTCTGATTGTTAACCAGTCACACTTTGTGCTTTATTTCAAGCCTGTTTGAGGCCAGTGGAGAAATGAACAGGCCATAGCTACACCAATTACTTTCCAGATGAAACTTCCACAGTGTGGAGGGAGTGAGTTTCTATTTGTGGACTCAACTTAGAAAATTGTTTAGAAAATTTCCTGGCAGGTATGAGCAGGAACTTGATCAAGGAATAACTCTAGGTAGGGATTTTTTAAATGAAATTCAGAGCAAACGCCATAAAAAAAAGTCAGCGTCGCAGCTAGAGAGGGATGCTGGCATTCCAACACACCTGGTGGAGACCGAACCTGGCGAGCAGCAATCAAAGCTGGCTCCCAGACATTTGAGAGCCTCACCACAGAGTTGGCAGTGCTGTAGAAGCTGCATTCAAGCCCTGGCCTGGGTGTCATGGAAACCAAGTTTCATATGCAGGCTCATCCAAGGTCTCCTAATTTACTGTCTAAAGCAAGCTTTCTCACCATTCTCCATCTGTTTTCATTTCTACATTTCAAAGTTGGAGATAATCCTCTTTAAAAAAAAAAAAGTGGAGAAAGTGAGTACTTACAGAATACCCACTATGAGCCAGGCTTATACTAGATGTTATACATGAATTATTCCGTTAACCTTCACAATGGCCCAGAGTAGTCAGGTAGGGTGAGATAATGTATAGCAGTCAGAATTCAGGTTTAGAGCCAGGCTCAGTGGCTCACGCCTATAATCCCAGCACTTTGGGAGGCCAAGGCTGGTGGATCACGAGGTCAAGAGATCGAGACCATCCTGTCAACATGGTGAAACCCCATCTCTACTAAAAATACAAAAAATTAGCTGGGCATGGTGGCACGCACCTGTAGTCCCAGCTACTCGGGAGGCTGAGGCAGGAGAATTGCCTGAACCCAGGAGGCGGAGGTTGCGGTGAGCTGAGATCATGCCATTGCACTCCAGCCTGGGTAACGAGAGTGAAACTCCATCTCAAAAAAAAAAGTGAATTTTTTTTTTTTAGAATTCTCTAAAAACCACTTTGTTTTTGAGAAATGGATCGATACAGACAGCATTAAATACAAAGAGTAAAGACTGAAGGCTGGTGAGAACTACTGTAGCTTTGAAGAAATCAGAAAATACTTGAACCACAGGACACCCCTGCCAATGATCTCATCTGCATGTCACACTGGAGTAGGGGTTCCCAGAAGTTCACCCGGAAGCAACTGTGAATTTCGTGTTCATTATATGTCCACATGGCTATCCTCCACAACAAGAGAGCAACAAATGCTTCTCCTCTTCCATCTTAAAGGTCTGCCTACCTGTCTCACATTGGCAAAAACTAAACCAGAACACTGTCGATCAGAGGGCCTGGTAGTTTTCAGAATTTTAGCCCCTTAGAAACAAGGAAGAGCTTAGAACCAACAGTCAATATCTGACACTGAATAATATTATTGTGTTTATCTTATTATTGAGGCGCCTAAAATTTCAAGAAGTCAAATAACTTTTCTCAAGTTCTTTCTGCTAGTTTGTGATGGGGATGGAAGATCATTATAATAAACCTGGGTGTTCCTCCCTCCAAAACCTAGGAGAAAGAAAGGAATTTTGATTAGTGTAGAGACACATATTTGTTCAACTGCATCCAGAGAAGAGATTTCTGTGTTTGCATTGCTGCTTATCCACTAGCCTAGTCAGCACGAGGGAGATTTAAAAAAAAGCGGGTTTCCCCATAAACCATGCAAGAGTCTATGTGATATTTGTCCATAATAATTAAAAAGAGTATGAGGGCAATAATATTAATGCCTTCAAGTGCAACCAGGGGAATGCAAGTTAAAACCACAGTGAGACGCTGTGTCACATCTACCAGACTAGCAAACATGAAGTGCTGCAAGGACAAAGAGCCACACCAACTCTCTGCCACTGCTGGTGGACATAATAGGTTGGTACAACCATGTCAGAAAACAATGTTCCATTACCTCTTTTTGAGACAGGTTCTCACCTTGTCACCCAGGTTGGAGTGCAGTGGCCAAATCTAGGTTCACTGCACCCTCCACCACCAGACCAGGCTCAAGCTATCCTCCCACCTCAGCCTTCTGAGTAGCTGGGAATACAGGCATGTGCCACCACACTCAGCTAATTTTCTGTAATTTTGTAGAGATGAGGTTTTTCTATGGTGCCCAAACTGGTCTTGAACTTCTGAACTCAAGCAATCAGCCCACATCAGCCTCCCAAAATGCTGGAATTATGGGCATAAGCCACCACCCTTGGCTTTCCATTACCTCTTAAAGTTAAATGTGTTTACAGTCTATGAGGAAGGAATTTCACTCATACGAATATCTCCTAGAGAAATTCTTGTACACTGTAAGATGAAATGTATACATAAATGTTTATAATAGCATTATCCATAATAGGTTAAAACTTAAAGCAAACCTAATGGCCATTAACAGGATGAATAAATAAATAGAGTATATTCATACAATGGAATATTACACAGCAATAGAAATACAATGAGATGGAAAGCGATATATGAACTTAAAAGGTTTAATGCTCAGGAAAATAGTCATGATTCCATTCATATAAAAGGTATAAGCAGACAGTACCAAATAATATACTGTTTAGACTGCATCCTATGTCACAAAAATCTAAAGCAATGAAAATATTAATTAAATACAGAAAATAATGGATTATTTTAGAGGGAGATAGAATGGAGTTAAACTCGGGAGGGACACTTGGAGGAACCTTCTATGGTCTTAATCTAAGTGGGACGGTAAGTTCAAGGGCGTTTATTTTATTCTGATTCCTTACATCATAATTACGTATACTCTTTTATATGTATACATATACACATATTTCTTTGTATATTTCATATGCAAAGAAAGTTAATGTCACAGTGGAGATTTTCTGTCAGCCTCTGCCTTTCTCCAGCCCCACCCAATTATAGTTTGGTTTTGGGATAGCAGATGTACAGCCTGTCCATCCCATTCTGGGCTTTCAAATTTAGCCCACTCTGAGACAATATAAGGTCTACTTTGGTGTATGAACTCCATCCCCAGAATTCCTCCTGACCTATTCTCACTTGACAGCTTTACCATATTAATAAACCAAACTAGTTTAGAACATGAATTTTGGGCCAGGCGTGGTGACTCATGCCTGTAATCCCAGCACTTTGGGAGGCCGAGACGGGAAGATCACCTGAGGTCAGGAGTTCGAGACCAGCCTGGCCAATATGATGAAACCCTGTCTCTGCTAAAAATAAAAAATTAGCTGGGCGTGGTGGCGGGCACCTGTAGTCCCAGCTACTCGGGAGGCTGAGGCAGGAGGATCACTTGAACCCAGGAGGCAGAGGTTGCAGTGAGCCAAGATAGCACCACTGCACTCCAGCCTGGTGACAGAGCGACACTCTGTGTCAAAAAGATAAAAAGAACTTGAATTTTGGAACCTGTGTTCGATTCCCAGCCCTGCCACTAGCTAGCGTGGTGACCTTGGGATCCTTGTATAACCTGCATGTTTCTCAGACAGTGAAACAGTACTTACCTCCTCGGATTGTTGTTAGGAAGGTGCGATGATTTAATTGAGGTAAAGCACTTTGAAGATGGACTGGCACATGGGGACTGTGATTTCATTGTCAGCTTTGACTATGACTTCCTGCTTTTTCTCTTGGCAGCTTAGTTGATCACCCCACCTTTCTTGCTTGATGCCACACCTCAGTACTTACTCTGCATTTGGTCCTATTCCTAAGAACAGGAATCAGCAAACTATGGCCTGCAGGTCAGAGGCAGCCCACTGTCTGTTTTTGTAAATAAATTTTCACTGAAACACAGCTATGTGCATTTATTAATATGTTGTCTGTGACCATTTTCATGTTACAAAAGCAGGGCTGATTAGTTGTCACAGACTGTATAATCTGCAAAGACTATCTGGCCATTTATAGAAAATGTCTGCTGACTCCTCCTTAGTATATGGTTAAACTCTGCTCTCCTGGCTTTGATCTTGCCCATCTCCCATAACCTTTCTGGTGCAGACACAATTCCACATATCTGTAGTCCAACCTCTGGCACAGTGACAAATGAAGCCAACATAATTTATGTTCTTGGGCTATACGGACTATGAAATCGACTCAACTCCTTCTTGGCCATTTCTCATCATGGATAGAAGGGCTTAGACACATCAAGTGCCCAGGCCATTTCTGAGCAAGCCAATGCATGTGACAGCCGACTCTGGCGTGAAGAGCTCACTACCTCCTACTAGAAATCTCCAACAGCATAGCATGTGATTACCTCACTTTGAAATAGAATATGTAGAAACATAATAAATACGCCAGGTCACACATTTGTAAACACATACAAAGATAAGCATTAACTGTCACCACGACCTGGCCATTAAAATGTTTTAAATCCTGAATATTACATCCCCCTAAGTAAGGCAAAGCCATTAAAGCAATAACTGTGAAGTCATATGATTCTCTCAATGGGTCTTAGGAGGAAACAAGTCAATGTAAAATAGGCATTTATTTTTTTAATGTAATCCCTGTTCTGATGACATTCATCCCTATGACCTCAAGCACCCAAGATAACACACCTACTTCACAGTTCTAAATGAGAAGTCCTCTAATAAGGGTGAAGGGTAACACAAAGACAAAATCTAAAAAAAGAAACCAAAGAGACTGCAAAGACAAGGAGTTTCAGCAAATCACCCATTCCCACCCAGGGAAAGAAAAAAAAACAGACGTGCCCTCCTTTGTGTGCTATTTTGGTCACATGTGATTAATAGCCTGTCACACTGTCAGGAGAACCCAGACTCAATCAAATCGACACATGGCAGCTCTGTGCACTAAGGCGGGGCACATTTCTGCACGAAATATGCCAGAGGGATGCACTGTGTGTGTATATATATATAGAGAGAGAGAGAGAGAACACATACCTGCCACTTGCATTCCTTGATCCTGAAATCCTGCCAAAATTCCTCTCCCTCCACATACTCCCAGTGTGTGTGTGTGTGTGTGTGTGTGTGTGTGTGACAGAGAGAATGTGTGTGTGTGTTTGTGTGTATGTGTGTGCATTTTCCCATTCCATTCAGCAAGCAGCTGTGAAAGCTGTTATACTGCCTCCACAGCATCAGAAAAGGATCTGGTGAGTGTTAAATGAGGGGGAGGTGTGATAAAAGGGATAAGGCAGTTAAATTGGGTAACTTAGAAAAGAATGAGATAAGATAATGAATGTGTTGCCATGGAAACCAGGTCATAGGCATAATCTAATACTGCTCTCTATCTGTAACATTCTATATTCTGAGAAATGGGCAAACCCTATTTTTTCTACTTAAGAATATTATCTTTACAGAGATATTAATAGTCTAGTCAGTGCCTTATTTCCCCATTTATTAGTGAAGCAATACATAAGTGAGATACAAACATGTCCTCTAGACTAGAAGAATGCAAAAATCCTTTGTGAATCCTAAAAGGACTCTCTCTGATTTATTTTCATTCCTTTTAAAATTGACTGTCACATTTCTCTTTACTTCCCATAAACATCCTATCCGCCAAGCTTGCTCTTTAATAAAATATGTTTTATTAAAGAATGCCCAAGAAATTGATACATTTCTGTAAAATTTGGCTTTACAACCAAATGCACCCCAACTCTCTGTATCAAAAGAGCCCTTCAAGTAATCATCCTGGAAGTTATTCTGCTGGCTGATTCCTCAGGGTGAATATCTTTATAACTCCTCCTTTGGCACATGGGAATTACGGTGACTTTAAAATACATGTTAAAATACTAAAATATAAATAAAAAGGAAAGTTTTAAACTCAAACATGTAAATCTAAATGAAACATCAGCATGGGGGTGAGGATGGTGCAATACATATTCACAGCCCTTAATGTCCTATGTGTGCTACTTGAACTAACCTTTTGAGTGTGCCTTCTGGTGGTCAAGGCAAACAAGAAAGCATGAAATAACAAACGAATGAGTAAAGTAAAACATTGCTCAAAATAACCCAAGCTCTTCTTAGAACTCAGTATTGAAAGGAATTTCTTACTTGGAGGTTCATACGTGGACCGCTCATATATTGCGCACAATGTCACAGATGCAAATGCGAGAAAAGGCTTCATTGGGACCTTCAGCCATGAAACCAAGGTGCACATTATGAATGCAATCTTGAGGGCTGTGTTCATAAGGAAAGGGAAAAGAAGGGAATAATATGTAGAATTTATATTTTTATTTGTCCTGCTTGGTTTAAGCATTATAATACTTTCAAGGAGAACTCCCCCATATTCACTTCCAAATAGCTCTTAGCTCAGCTAACTATTAGGTAAGAATTAGAAAGCAGACAGTGTTTTTATCCTCTGACCTAGAATGTAGATCTACTCTGGGTTTAATGATGATCATGATGTATATGGACCAAATTTACAAGCTTTTATGAAAATAGAGGGCTAATTCAAGACTCTCCAACCAATTCCTAGGTGCTGGTGTTATTACAAAGGCATTATTAGAATGAAGCAAACTCTGGAGATGGTTCTAAAGAGTTAACTCTGCAACTGGGTCATCCTGGAGAACTTGATCCCATTCAGACTCCAGCAAAGGCAGAGACCATTAACGCTCATCACATCTCCATGTCTTCTCTGCATCTCCCAGCTCTCTTTACAATTAGGTTTGGACTAAATAACAAAGTTCAAACCAAAGGAATGTGGGAATAAATGCTGTAAACCCTTGGAAAATCCAGAGGAACTTTCCAGTTGCTTTCCTTCCTTGAAATGGAAACTTAGAAGCCATACGTTACAAGAAGGGTGGCTCCATAATGCAGTAATATGAGCAAGAAATTAAAGCACACACTAAGTCACTGATATTTCAGGGTTTACCTAGTGTGAGAGTAAGCATGAATTACCCAAATAACTAATAATACACTAGCCAATAAACTGTCTTCACCATTTCATCTTTTTTTTTTAGATGGAGTCTCACTCTATTGCCAGGCTGGAGTACAGTGGTACAATCTTGGCTCACTACAACCTCTGCTTCCTGGGTTCAAGCAATTCTCCTGCCTCAGCCGCCCAAGTAGCTGGGACTACAGGCACCCACCACCATGCCTGGCTAATTTTTATATTTTTAGTAGAGATGGGGTTTTGCCATGTTGGGCAGGATGGTCTTGATCTCTTGACCTCATGATCCACCCATATCAGCCTCCCAAAGTGCTAGGATTATGAGCCACCACACCCAGCCTGATCTGTCACTTTTAAATCATGTTTCATTAATTGTTTTATAGATGGTATATATTTTTGGCTTAAATACTTTTGTAAAAATACAGACAAAAATTTGCAAGATATAACTACTGTCCTGTCTTTGAATGTATTTACAGACTCAGTTTCTCTCTCTCTCTCTCTCTCCGCTCTCTCTCTCTGCTTTCTTGCCTTCTCACCTCATGCCATATTAACATAGAGACATACAAATATAATTAGAAAAAAAGATATATAAACAGTGGATGCCAGATATAAATAAATAAGTAGGTAATAGATCTCTATTCTAAGAGAAATAGATCTATAGAGAAGCAGACAGACATGGTGCTTAGATATGCTTCTGTAAGTTTCAGGTGGGCATGGTTTCACATAACTTCAACAGGTAATTGTATAATTACCTGTTCATTTATAAATGTTGACATTGAGTGCTGAGAAATAAACTGAGATTAGCAGTTAGAAAGTAGTAGGAGAGCATTTTTACTCAAATAGTTCTACTTCAGAGCCTGCATCTGAATCACCACTTTCTACTCACCTGAGTTAATTTATTATCTTTCATTTATTCACTCAATTTCTCCAACACTAATTGTTGCTTAACCAGTAAGATAAGTGATAGGTCATTGTTGTTGCTTTCCTGTCTCCTGACAACTCATGTTTCCTTTTCTATCGACTGCCTGTTTTTTTAAGGATTATTTATGTATTTATTCATTTGTAACAGCTCTTTATAAAGATATTAACTTTGTATCTGCCATATTTGTTCAAAAATATTTTTCCAGTGTTCTTTTCTCTTTTAATTTATGGTGATTTCTCTTTATTTCCTTTCAAATCTTCCTTATAATTTCCATTATAGTTTTAAAGATCTTGATCTTAGATCTCCAAACTAACATAAATACACACTTACACTTTCCACATATGCTAATCATTTGTTTCGCTGTTACATCCTTTGTCTACTGGAGAGTTATGCTTATATAAAGGCTTTCAATCCTCCTTAATTTTGTTTCCTTGAGTGTTTTCATTTTTCATCATTTTCCAAACAATATTAATGAATATCTATGTTTTATCCTATTGATGTGAAATGCTATCTTTATTACACGGCATATGGATTGTTATGTAGCAGGGGAAGCAGACAATCTTGACAATCTTAGCTTGTAAAGAAAATGGCTCTAGTGTTTGCATCTCAAGTATTATGCTGCGTGCTTTTCAGATATATATATTTACTACATGTATAAACTACTCTTCTAGCCCTATTTTACTTATAATTTACCTTAATCATAAATAGTCATGTTTCCCCTAACATAATGGATTATCATAATATATATTTTTATTAATGAGTCATCATTGAAATTCTGTAATAAAATCCACTTAGCCATAGCACATAATTTCTTTAATATACTAGAGTTCATGCAGTCACCATTTGTTTAGAATTTTGCATTTCCATTTCTAAGAGAAATTGATCTATAGTTTCCTGTAGTTAAGCTAATTACAAGAAAAGAAAGGGGAAATTTACCTTTTATTAGGAAATATTTCAAGTAGCACAAAAATTTTTTGTTATATAATGGTTTGAGAAAAACTCATTTCTAAAGCCGTATGGGTCTGTCATCTTTTCACTGGTTATTTTTAGATACTTTTAATAATTTCTTTCAAGCTCTATTCAGCTTTTTTTCCTATTCTATGATTGACTGTTTTTTATACTATCCTTTAAAATTATTCTTTCATTCATGTCTTTATGTCTATTGGCATATATTGGCACAGAATTCTACTTTTTCTGTTAAATGTGTTAAAGCGTAAACAAATAATGATTTAGTTATATCTCCTTGATCATCCCTAATAAAGTGTGTCGTTATTTCTTTTTCCTTCCCTGGTCACAGTTATGAGATTTTGTCTATTTTAGTGGTCTTAAGTCTTTTTTAAAAAACATACAATAAAACTCTCGTCTTTATTATTTTATTATTTTCAAACATCATTTCCATTTCTGCTTTTGTTTATTTCTTCCTTGGATGGACATAATTCAAATACAACCATTAAACACAATTCATTAATCCTATTATTGATTTCTCTTTATTCTGTTATCTACTTAGTATATAAAATATTGCATCCTACCATTATCTTGATTATTTAAATTTTTAAAATTTTTCACATTCTTGTGTAATTCATTAAAGTTTTGTAATTGTTTATTTTCATTTGGATTTTACTATTAGAAATGTAGACTTTGTCTCTGTTGCACGTTGCATATTTGTTCATAAAATGTTATTTTTTATATCAATCCTGTTTTCTGTTTGAAATTGCATGTAAATATACACACATATCCTCATTTTTAAGCATATTTCTCAATGTGTTTAGGAGTGTGTTATGGTCTGAATGTATCCCCCAAAATGCATATGTTTTAAACTTTATACCCAATGCTACAGTGTTGGGAGGTGGGGCCAAATGGGAGGCATGTAACTCATGAGATCTTAGTTCTTATGAATAGATTGATGTCACTATGAAAAGGGCTTGCGGAAGTGGTTTTGATCTTTTCTGCTTTCTGTCATGTGAGGACACATTTGTCCCCTTTTGTCCTTCACCTTCTGCCATGTGAATATGTAGCAAGAGAGCCCTTGCCAATGCCACACCTTTGGTCTTGGACATCTCAGCCTCCAGAACAGTGGAGAAAAAAACTTCCATTCTTTATAAATTGTTCAGTATCAGGTATTCTATTATAGCATCATAAAATGGACTTAGGTGCCTACTGGAAAACCCATGTAGTTGAATTTCATGTTACTCTGGGAGTTTTCACATTTACATTTGACAGATTTCATGTCCCTAGACATCTTATGACCACACTATCCTACAAGACAATTTTAAAGTGTGGGGAATATCAATTAAAATCAAAATGGAAACACACATTTAAATCTTTGTGGGCATATATGCCCTTCATGCCTGTTTGTATACAATTGTATATGTGTGCACACATGTGGGTGAGTTCATGCACTCATATAGTGGTTGTGTGGTCTGCAGCCAAACATGACCAAAGAGACCAAAAGGTTATCTGACCAATAAGGACTAGGTAAAAAAGATTAACTACCTCCAGGAACATGTTCACTAGCTTCTTGACTCTTTACAAAGG